TTTCATGGGAATCCAGATTTTAGTGTGTATAGTAATACCGCATAATTTATGCCGGCAATACCTGCTACAGCCTTAATTCTCCTAATAATCATGTTCGACGCAATAGCATCATTAAAAATTCTAATTTACATTATAATTACAATATTAATTTATCATAGTGTTAAATAAGCTTGTGTAAAGCGGAAATTTTTGCATTTAAACGGTAAGTCTTAATATCCACGTATTTACCGTTTGTCGGGCCCGTTAATACGTCGTTTGATTTTTCTTCCGAATCCGTCAATTTCATTAGAGTCTACGTCGAGCCGTGGCGAGTCTATCAAATACTTTTGAAATTTCCTTTAAAAAATCGAATAGAAACACGAATAGATATAGAAACATCGAAATTTCGCAACGATGAATGGATTAAAAATGAAATTTCTACGACTACCGAATGACCGGCCACATGTTATACGCCCGCGAACGCTGATTCAAAGAAGTCATCCGGCCGTCCGACATTAAACATTCTTAAGCCGATAATTCCTGAGCAAAAACCACAGTAGTGAGGCACAAAGTCAGCGAGAGAAAGCACCGAGAGCACGAAAGAGAAGGCGGAATTAACATCAGAATTCGACGAGCGTCCGTGACTAATACGACCCTCATAAATATCGAAACGGCACGAGGAACCTTTCATCGCCGCGTGGCGAAAAGGAGCAAGACCGACAAGAAAAAGAAGAAGGTATAGGCCGGTTCAAAAGACGCGCGCATCAGCGCATATTTCGCCACCAGCGTCGAGGAATAAATGGCTCCTTGATCGTCGACGAATTAAGTTGGCAACTAGAATACATCACCGATTAAAAATTGGCCCCCATTTATTTTCCGCGTTGTTTTTGAAGCAAAGCTAGCGGCACAGAGAGAGAAAGAGAGAGAGAGAGAGAGAGAGAGAGAGAGAGAGAGCCGGATAATCGCCATGGCCAGATGGCCAAATTGATATATTTCGTTCGGCTGAGCTGTAGTTTTGTAGCTTTTCGTAGTAAGCAAATATTTTACGAGCTCTTTATAACCGATGCAGGGTGATTAATTATAGCGGAGTTTATGATGATTCCTTTTGGATTGGCATTGTGTAATTGCCATGGGTGGGGGAGCCGATTATTCGTTATGGTTGAGCAAAATCTTCCGTAGGAATCTCATAGCCGGCCGATTATAAGTAGAGAGCAATCGATTATAAGTTGCTTTACGTTTCATCCTTTGAATGTTTTGTATATTTATATAAATAAATCGATGGGTTGTGGAATAGACGCTATTTGAATGTAAAATGTAAGAAGATGGGAAGCGTTTACGAGAGATGACGTAAAATAGAGTGTAAAAATTTTTTAGCCCGATAAATCGAGGTAAATTTACGATGATACTGAACGTAAACGAGGGAGACGGTGAGAAGGAGAGAAGGAGAGAAGGAGAGAGAGAGAGAGAGAGAGAGAGAGAGAGAGAGAGAATAATTAAATATATAAATAAATATTTCGACAATCCGATAGACTGACGCTTCGTGGCCTTGATTATTATTATGCTCGTGTAATGCGGACTTGTAGCTACACGGTAAAATACGTAAAACTCTCCTCTCACAACACATTGGACATAATGGCGATATGTACAATAGATGTTCCGAGCGGTAAAAGTATCTTCGGAAATTCTCAGAGGTCCATTATTCTATATGTATAACAGATTTTTCTCGAAAATATGAGCGAGTTGAGCCAATAGCAAAAGCTCCGTCAGCATACATCAGAGAAAGCCAAATATACACACAAATACAATTTAGTTTAGGACGTATATAAGAACGTCTCCATTGACGGCTCGGCTTCATAACCGCAGAATTTACTACCTTTGTCGCTGACGAAAAAGAGAAAGAGAGGCGTATAAAGACAGAGATGAAGGAAGAAGTAGAGAGACAGAGAGAGAGAGAGAGAGAGAGAGAGAGAGAGCGTGTGTGCGTGCGTGCGTGTGCGTGTGAGTTTACTTCTGTGTGTTTTCGTGCGTGTGTACATGTGTGCATGAGTGTAGAGCGAGCTGTCGATGGCGCGGGGTGGGACGGGAAGGACGGAGAGGGAAGAGAAAGAGGAAAGTCACCTGGCACTCGCGACGGGGAGAGAGAAGAGAAAAGAGAGTCGAAACGGACGCATTGATGAGTTTCGAGGCCATAGAGTTGCGGCCTGTAGACCCAAGGATTCTTCCTCTGTCCCGGATATCCTCGGTGAATCGACCCTGACAATGGCCGGGGCGCACGTAAATCTCTCCTACGTTCAACAAATTGACAAGTCCACCCCAAAGCGCGTATTCACGCTCAAGATCGGACGAGGATCGCGCGCATGCGCGCACGCCCGCGAGAGTGAAAGGTGCGCGGGCCATACGAATGTCGGGTGAAAGTTTGCGATGCGAATGAATTATCAATGGATGAAAAAGACCTTTCGGCTCTTGTTCCACGCATTGTTCTTCTACTCTCTCATTGTTTCGTAAGCATTCGACACATTCGCGTCACACGTTCTTCTCCTCCTTTTCCTCTCTATCGTCTTTCCTAACAGATGAGAAAATAATTTATAGCATCACACTCGACTATTTCGCAATTGTCGAGTAGCCGCACTATTAGAATTGCAATTATCTTAAATATGTCGATCGTCTGGTGGCGTGTGATGCAATGTAGAGATGCAGAGTCTAATGCGCGTACAGAGTCGATCTATCGCTACATGTTTAAATCCAAATACAAAATCCTATAGATGTGAAAATCATTTTCATCGAGTGATTACCCGATAAATGCAGCGTGGCTGAAATATAAAAGACGACGATTATTTAAGCGTTAAATTAATCATTTAATAATTGGTTAATTGGTTGATATTGGAACAACGAATTAAACAAAAAAAAAAAAAAAAAAATAAAAAAAAATAGGCGGCCGTCGCTTGGATCATTCACCAACTTCCGTTTCAAATAGAGAAAATAAATCATACGATACCACACCTCTCATGCACAGATACACGTACTCAACTCTGAGACCATTGGACGATACGATATTACCTCGTGCTTTTAGCGTTTCTATTATAACACTTTGTAGTATTGTCAATCAGCGGTAGTAGCGGAAGCGGCAGCAGTAGCAACAACAAGAGCAACGGGCAACAGGCAACAGCCAACAGCAGCTTATAACACATTTTAGCAGAAAAGGGTCGCAAAAGCTTCTTGCACTCGTAGCTCCTCCATGCAGCCGATAATCGATAGCTCGAGACCAATCGGAGAAGC